TTTTGCTTTTAAACCTCTCACCCCCCCACCCCCCCCCTACCCCCGTGTGCAAGGCTAAAATCTCCCCCTGTGTGCGAGGAACGGCCGGGGTTGCCATCCACTGGCAGCGCGCGGGATCGAACGCACGTCAGCAAGATCCCGAGACGAACATACGAACCACTGCACCACACAGCTAACCCCTTTAGAATCCACCTCCCCTTAGAACACCTTTACCTGCGCATCATTAAAAAGATCACGAGGGCTTTTCAATGGAGGTAAATATCCCAAAACCCTATAAATGGATCCTCATAACAAGACAGAGTACACCGTCAGAGTGTACTTATGCATTAATTATTAATTATGTATTAATTATCTAATGTACTTATGCATTAATTATCAATTATGCATCATTAGAGCTTATAACTAGGAAAAAAATAATGATTACCGAAGATAAGAGAAAGAACAATTTCTGGCCCACTTTACAACTTTGGGTCCAAGTGATGAAGTGCTTGAAATGGATTTTTGGGAAAGCAAAAAAAAAAAAAAATAATAATAAAATAAATAAATAAAAAAAAATGAAATAAAATAATAAAATAAATAAATAAATAAATAAAATAAAATAAAATAAAATAAATAAAAATAATAATAAATAAACAAATAAAAATAAAAACGAATATCATTGTGTTCGAAGTCCCAAGGGAAAGCGAAAGAGGTGAAAAGACATCGTGAAATAAACACGTCATAATTGCCAGACGAATGTAAATAAAGCGAATAACGGCCCAGAGTGAAGGGGATGATGACTCAGAGTGAAGGGAAGTGAAAGCGAAGGGAAAACTGGCCTACAGTGAAGGGAGTGATGAAGGGAAAAGGGAAGTGAAAGTGAAGGGAACAGTGGCCTAGAGTGAAGGGAGTGATGAAGGGAAAGGGTAAGTGAAAGTGAAGGGAACAGTGGCCTAGAGTGAAGGGAGTGATGAAGGGAGAAGGGAAGTGAAAGTGAAGGGCATAGTGGCCTAGAGTGAAGCGAATGATGGTCCCAAGGTGAAGGGAATGGTGACTCAGAGTGAAGGGGAAGTGAAAATGAAGGGGATAGAAGCCTAGAGAGAAATGAATAATGGCCCAGGGTGAAGGGAAGTGAAAGTGAAGGGCATAGTGGCCTACAGTGAAGGGAATGGTGGTCCAGGGTGAAGGGAATGGTGACCCAGAGTGAAGGGAAGTGAAAGCGAAGGGAACAGTGGCCTAGAGTGGAGTGATGAAGGGTGAAGGGAAGTGAAAATGAAGTAAAACTGACCTACAGTGAAGCGAATGACGGCCCAGAGTGAATAAAATGAAGTGGATAAAAGCCTAGAGAGAAATGAATAATGGCCCCGGGCGAAGGGAAGTGAAAGCGAAGGGAACAGTGACCTAGATTGAAGGGAATGGCGGTCCAGACGATCCTCATAAACGAGAAGGTCATTCCCCCAAAAAAACATTAAGACGATCGAAGACATGGCACCCCTTAAGTGTGGCTTCTTCAGATCTGTGCGCTGATTGGCTGCGTGTCTCGTGCCGTGATTGGCTGTCTGATCATTGCGGTTTTCTTTGAAGGAGCAACTGAAAAGTCTTTGCATATGCTAACAAAAAGAGTAAATTTGATATGTCTTTTTCTAGAATTATTGATGGGAAAAAGTACATACGGAAACAAGTTCTAAATTCTGCAATCTTAAAAAAAAAAAAAAAAAAAAAAAAAAAAAAACGAGTTCCGTCATCTACTACCGACTACGTCATCAATACGTCACAGAGTACCGAAAACGTCACGAAAACGTCACTGTATAGGGAATTCGCCCCCCCCCCCCTCTGCTCCAAGCTGCAGACACGAACACGGTGTCGATACTGTGCTCTCCCTCAAGAAATCTCAGACTACTTAGAAATAGATTTCCAAGAAAAAAAAGAGAGAGAAAGAAAGAAAAGAAAAGAAAACAGAAAAAAAGAAAAGAAAAGAAAAGAACAGAAAAGAAAAATGAATCTGCCGCTGAGAGCAACTGCCAATTCCCCCCCCATTTGTGTGCAGACTTTCTAAAGGATATGAGAGTAAACAGCCCAAAGAAGGCAGGTTGTTGGACATGCACGCTGGTCTGTAAATAATATTTTATGAAATCAAGTCTACCTCTCTCTTTCCTTTCTCTCTCTTTCTTTCCCCTCTCTCTCTGTCTCTGTCCTCTGTCTCTCTTCTCTCTCTCTCTCTCTCTCTTCTCTCTCTCTCTCTCTCTCTCTCCTCTCTCTCTCTCTCTCTCTCTCTCTTCTCTCTCTCTCTTTCCTCCTCTCTCTCTCTCTTCCTCTCTCTCTCTCCTCTCTCTCTTTCCCCTCTCTCTCTCTCTCTCTCTCTCTCTCGCTCTTCTCTCTCTCTCTCTCTCTCTTCTCTCTCTCTCTCTCTCTCTCTCTCTCTCTCTCTCTCTCTCTCTCTCTTCCTCTCTCTCTTCTCTCTCTCTCTCTCTCTCTCTCTCTCTCTCTCTCTCTCTCTCTCTCTCTCTCTCTCTCTCCTCTT